GATGACCTGGAATTTGATCACACGGCTTTTGTGGGCTTGTAACACTGGAAGCGTGGTCATGTGAGATCATAGCAGGAGCTGGCTTCATGTCCACCCAGCCGTGGCCGCTCAAGCCGGAGCAGCAGCCGGGAAGGACCAGCAGGAGCAAAGCACAGCTCTCCTGGGACAGAGCAGTGGGCCCTGCAGGCTCCGCCAGGGGTGCGCCCCCACCCTGCAGCCCCAACCTTGTGGGCGAGGGGTGGAAGAGGCAGCCTCGGTGGTTCCCTGTTGGCGTGATGAGGAGAGGAAGAAGCCAGGCCAGCGTCCAGCACTTTCCAGTGTCCTTCTCAGTGAGGGTCAAAAGGCCAGGCCTGAGTCCCAGCAAGAAGGACGTTGGGAGGGCCTGGGATCTTGGGGACACAAGTGGCCTAGAATCTCGAGGCATGACTGGGGATACAATGGCTTCCGCTCCCTCTTGGGTGGGGCTGCCTGGCTCCTTCCAGAATCACTCGCGTAATCATGCATGTGTCCATCAGGCCACAGGCCTGCCAGACTGTTGTACCACGAGTGCTCAGAACACCACTCTTGTGGCTGCGTGGGCTCCTGCGACAGGCAGGCCCCTTGCTCCAGGGGTTTGCCATCCAAACACGCTCCCCTCAAAAACACTGGGGGGTTTCGATAATTGAGGCAAAAATGTCTGTCCCTCTACCATGGCCAACAGCGATGGACATTTCCCCATCCTGCCTGAGTCTTGAAGAAGAGACAGAGCAACACAGATGAGCTCCCCGTCCCTCTGTGCACACAGGGCCCCATCCCTGCTCCACGCCAGGCGCAGCTCTGAGTGGCGGTTTGGTGTCTGTCCTCTTCCTGTACGCGTGCTCACAGACCCCGCTCAGGTGTCTTTCACGTGCGCTCCCATGGGCTCTCTATGACTTGCTCCTTGTCCATCTCTGTGACCCGAGGGCTCCTCTGTGCTGAGGGGTCCTGTGACCGCTGCTGTGTAGGCCTGTCCTGGAGACCCGTCCCCTTCTCTGTCCACTCCTCTGTTGAAGAGCAGTCTGGTCGTGGGCAGTGTGGTGACCTTGCAGAATGCCTCCAGGATGTCTTGGTACCTGTCTCCTTGTGCCCGTGTGCACCTGCAGGGGGTGGTTGGGATTCTCCAAGGCACTGGGACCTGCTGTGTGGCCACCCGCTGTTGGTCTTTGTCCCTGCGTCCTTCTGTCTTTGCTGACACTTGTGACTGCCCACGTGACAGCTGGGCATGGCATCTTACCAGAGTTGGCATGGCCTGCTCCCTGCACTTCTTTCTTGCTTATCTGCAAGAAGACAGGACTCTTCCTCCACTTTCTTCCCCCACCAGGAAATCAGCCTGTACCTAGGAAAGATTTAAGGCAAACTTGAAACCATTTTAGTTCATAAAAAAATTAAGATGAACTAAACCATTCACAAACTTTTGGCCCCATTGCCTGTGGTCCGCACAATCCTTCGTGATCCCGTGACAAGGACCGCCCTCTCCCAGGCAGTCTGGCCACCTGAGCCCCTCCGGCTTTTCTTGGCAGGACTGTGGACTCCCAATGCAATCCAGGGGAGGAGGTGGGTCTTCCCAGAGGCGAACCATCCATATCTGTGGATTCAACCAGCCATGGACTGACAATATCAGCAACACTAGTTGCTTCTGTGTTGATCAGGTGCACGTTTCATCTTGCACCGTTCCCTAAATAACACAGCATAGCAGCTCTGCACAGCACCCACACTGCCAGGTGTCCTGAGTGACCCGGGAGGACTTAACGTGTGCAGGAGGATGTGTGTAGGTCATGTGCAAATATGTCACCATTTTATGCTCAGGACTTGAGCGTCTGCAGGGTGGTGTCTGTGGGGATCGTGCCACAGTCCCCTCGGACACCAAGGCAACTGGGTTTGCATCAGGATGCAAAGTAGCTCCTGGAGGTTGGGGGGTGGTCCCTGAACTGTGAGGAGGGCTTGGTGGCCTGGTGGCCCTGAAGTTGGGGTAAGGTCCCCTCCCCAGGTGGAGATGCTGCTGCCACAAGCAGCCTTCTGGGATGTTGGAGCCAAAGCCCCAGCCCCTAGGGGACTTGTAGTTGGAAGCAGAGGCTCCGGATAACAGGGGCAGACAGCAGACTTGGGCCTCCCTGGGCACCAGGCCTCCCTGGGCACCTGGCCTCAGCAAGAAAGATAAGCTCCACCCCCCCACCCTCTCTCTCTCTGCCCCAAGGGTATTCCTGGACCCTTGGGGAGTGCAGGGACTCCCCCACATCCACAGAGACACTAGCACTGGCCTGAGCCCAGACTGCCCTACCCGGGAGTCTGCAAGGGGGAGGTCCCAGGATGGGAGGACTCTAGGTCAACAGGCCCAGGGTGTGGTGTCCAAGGAGAGAAGGCGTGCTTGTGGAGCCCCTGTCCTGGACTTGCTAGAGCTCCGGCACAGGCTGTGTGCCCGGGAAGTCTAAGGCCACACTGTCCCACCTCTGGCTCTGTTAAGCAAGCCCTGGGGGCAAGGCCAGCCTGCCTTGGCCCTGCTACCCACCCACACCATGCCCTCCTTGTTGGAGGCAAAGGCAACGGTCATTCAAGAGTTCATAGGACAGAGGGAAACTGAGTCACCAGCTGGCCAGAGCCGGGCAGGTGGCACTTCTCCGGGTGCTGTACCTTGGTTTCCCCCCAGGATCACCGTGAGGGTCATGGAGAGGCACTGTGGAGGGGGCCCAGTCAGAGCCGCCTGCCGTCCTCTGCAGGAGACATGAGCAGCAGAGCACCCAGCCCACTGTCACATGCGCTGAGTCCCCAGGAAGACTCAGGGACTGCAGCAACACAGTTTATTGAGCCAATAAAATCTTAAGTGTGTGAAATCCAGAGGAACCTGGGGCATTTTTATGTGCTCAGAGGACCCTGAGGGTGTCCTGTGCCTGAGTCTTTGTGTGCATGGAACAGGCGGGTGGACAGTGCTCTGCTTCTCTCTTGTGTCCCTGTCCTGGGAGGGCACCTTCCACCTGAAAGCCAGCTGTGCCATCTGCCCCATCTGGGGACATTGGCCTGCTCGGGCCTGTGACCTGACCTGGAGGGGGCAGTCTCTGCCCCTGCTCCGGCAGCAGTTCTGGCCGAGAGCCCGCTGCTCTCAGAGCTGGCCCATGCCTGCCCTGGCAAGGCAAGTCGGGGGCTGGCCTCTGCGTCACTGAGGATCCCCTCGCGCGGCGCTGTCTTGAAAACCCTGCCCTTTCCTTGTGCTCCCCTACCCTCCCTTCCGGCCCCTCTGTCTCTCGGAGCTTGCCTGGTGTGCCCAATTCCCGAGGCCGCGGCAGCTGCGGAGAAGCACCCCGGCTCGCTGCACCGTGACCCTGGGAATCGATTCCGAAGGCGATTGGTCGCGGCAGCACTGCTGACTGTGGCGGTTTCCTTTGCAGTTATTGATACATCATCAGAATGGGGAGGTGATAGGAGGAAGGGGGCGGGCGGTGGGCGGAGAAGCCAGGCTGGAGGCCACCTTGCAGCAGAGGGCAGGGAGCCCGGTGCTGACGGGAAGGGGAAGCCAGGCCTGGGGTGTCCTGGACACAGCCCCGCCAAGTTCACAGGAAGCCAGGAGCTTCCAGACTGGTGACAGTGCAGTTCTTGTCCCCAAGCTGGGCAAGGGGCCCTGCTGTCCCCATCCTCCTGGCCCACGGTGCCACGGCTGGGGTTGTGCTCCCCGGCCCCAGCAAGGTGTAGGTGCTGGGTGGAGGGAGAGGGAGAGGTGGTCTATTGATGGCCAGCTCTAGGAGTCCACTCTGGGAAACACCCAAGAGGCTCAGGAGGGTCAACTATCAGAACCTAAAGGAGAACGTTAGGTAGACTGACAGATGGATAGCTAGACAGACAGACACACACTCAGATTCATAGGCACATGGCTACATAGGTGGGTAGACAGACAGCCTACAGAAGGGGTTCCCACGCAGGCTGGGTGGGCAGGTTGGGTCCTCGGCAGGAGTTGATGCTGTGAACCGGAGGCAGGTTCTTTGCTCGGGAAGTTTGTTTTGCTCTCATGGCCTTTAGCTTGGGCAAAGCCCTCGCCCCATCTCTACTGAACCAATTCTTAATGCCAGTCACCCAACACCATCACAGCAGAACCTAGTTCCCTGTTGGGCTGGATCACTGGGGACGATGCCCTGGCCAAGTGAAGAAACCCACCATCAAATGCCCTAAGATCCTAGGATACCAGCAGATGGGCCTGGGGAACCCCTGGAATCAGGACCCACATTTCTGCATCCTTTGTGGAAAATGGGCCTTTGGCTCTCATTAGCTTTTGATGGCATGGCTGGGGCAGCCTGGAGCTGGCTGGTCAGGGTCGCCCTGGAGTGGCAGAGCATGTGCCCTCCTCAGAACACCTGGGTCTGGGCAGAGGCCCTGGGGAAGGCTAGAGGGCAAGGTCCTCAGCACCTGAGCTGTCTGCCCTCCTCCCTGTGCTCACAGGACTGCCCATCTCCGGGACCCAGGTGGGCAGTAGGACCTCTGCAACGGGGTGTGGACAGACACTGGGGCTGTCCTGGTGGGAGAAGAAGGAAGGGCACCCTGGGAAGGTGCAGACAAGGAGGGTGGTGGGAACCTGGAGATGGCGACCACAGGCTCTGTGGACCGCAGGGTCTGCTCTGGCCAGGCTGCGGTTAGCCATAGTCAGGAAAAGGGCGAGGGGAAGGGGAGAGGCTGGGGCTGGGCAGACAGGCCCGGAAAGGGGTGCGGCCAGCTCCAAGGGGCCCAGAACCCAGTAATCAGAATCTGGGACCTCAAGGATGTTAAGCAACTTTATTTATTTATTCATCGCGCCGGGCGGTGTAAACAGAGGCGCCTCATTGAAGCTATTGAAGCTTCTCGCCGCCTGACAATTTCTCGTTGGAGGTGTTCAAAAGACACTGTTCCCATGACGCTCGGTCCTGTGATATTTTTAATCAAGTAGCGCAGGACAGCGTGTGTCTGATGCATTCTGGACACTCAGAGATTGAGATTTTTCCTCTTGCTTTCTTTTTAAAATGCAGCGTGAAGTCAGAACCACGGAGGAAACCCTGCCGGCCTCCCAGCGAGCTGGTCTGCAGGCCCTTCGGTGGGAACCTGTCCCAGGAGCAGCCCCTTCTGCAAACAGGTGCGTGCCCCTTTGTGCAGAGCTTTCTGCTGGGCCCCGGCTGGTTCTCAGAGGCCCGAGTGAGCCCCAGGTTGGGGGTGATGTGCCGATGGGCGTCAGCTCGGGGAGCCACAGTCTGCGGAGAAGAGGGTCCACAGCGGTCCCCACTGCTTGGTTCCTGGGCCCCCTCTGTGTTTTTTCACCTGCCCTTACCCAATTCCCTTACTAAAATGCAAATCAGCAAGTGTATAATAGATAATTAATAGACTGATCAGCCAGCAAGGGAGGTAAGTAGATAAATAATTTTAATTATCCTTGGGTTGCCCATAAATTCCCTCACTGCCTTTTTATTAAACTCTCTGTTTACAGGACTCATTTATATTCCATGTCATTGTGCCAATCCCTCCCCCGCCTCCTTGGTGGCTCCCACCAGGTCTGACCTGGAGTGGAATAATGCGCGTGACCGCAGGCTCCCCTCCCCACGGGGCCCACCTCGGGCACAGGGGGTGGAAGGCTTTGCTCAGACAGGCAGGTGGGCTGCAGCTCAGCTGCGGTGCTTGCTCCATCCCAAGGTGGCCGTCACCCTTCCTCACACCGCCTGGGGACCTTTATCACACTTGGCGCCGGTGCGTAGGTCTGAGCTCCTCCTCCCCCCAGGGATGGCCTTAGTCTATTAATAGCCCTGGCTGATGTCCCTCCTTGCTCTCGATGCCAAGAGAGAAAGTGGGTTAATAAATATAAAGAAAACTCCCTTGGAGGGCCCCGGGCCAAGCTCTCTCCCAGGCTGTCCAAGAGTCATGGCTGACGAGGCCCCAGATGGACGAGGGTTCCCTTCTCCCTGGCCTTCCATCCTCGTAGGGCGGGTGTGGGGGGTCGATGGAGGCAGAGCTGCCCCAGGTTCCACAGAGCTGAGGGTGGAGGAGGTGCCTGGGGGCAGGAGGGTAGAGGCGGGCTCCGGTGGCCTACCCGCATCTGGCCCTGTGAGCGTGACAGGAAGGGGCAGCTCCGCTTCCTCGTGCCTTCCCGTCCGCCTGCACCATTTCTCCATGTGTCCTTCAGTCTGGCGGACAGTGCAGGTGGCAGCCCTGGGGTGGTCCTGAGCAAGAGCCCTCTCTGGTCCTCTCCTGCCTGTGGCAGGGACGGACGGTGTGGCTTGAGTGACTGAGTTGGCAGCATGGTGAACAGACACTGCCCACAGTGCCCGCAGGAACAGAGCCTGGGGTAAGGCCAGCAGCCGCCCTCCCCGCAGGCCTGTGTCTGAGAGAGCCCTCTGCAGAGCGGGGCCGGCCTGTTAGAGTCCTCCCGGGAGAGAAGGTCAGACTGTGGATGTTGGTGCTTCCAAGAAACAGAGCCCTCGCTGAGCCCTAGCAGGTGGCCAGTGACAGAGCCTGGGTGGCCTGCGGCTGCGGCCTGCACAGCCTCTGCGGGGGCAGGACCCTGGCCAGTGAGCAGGGCCGCCCCTCCCTGCGGGCTTTCCTGCTCCCCTTGGTGGGAGGCTGTTGCCAGGGCAGAGGGACTTGGAGCTGAGCAAACAGAAAGGTCTTTTTAGTTTTACTCAGTGGAATTAAAATCTGAAAAACGGCCCGTGGAGACTCCCTGCGCTTTCAGGAGCTTGTTTACCTCAGAGACTTGCAGCCCGCCCAGGCCTTCTCCGGACACACGGCGAGCGGGGAAGAGAGAAAGTGCTGGCAGGCCTCTCCGCGGTCCTCCCTGCGCTCAGCCCCGGGCCAGCTGGAGGGGCTGCAGGGCCCACTTCAAGTGCTCTGTGCGGGGCAGCCGACGGGTGGGCCTGAGCTGTGGGCCAGGCAGCAGAGGCAGAGCACGTCTTTCTGAAACCAAGGGCAAGGCCATCGGCACAACTCCACATTGCTGTGGGCTTTCTGTGGTTTTGAGGACAGTTTTAGGGTTTCTTGCCTGTTTCTATCTTGTGGAGTGGAAGTGACAGGGAAAAGGGAACAAAACGAATCAAAGACAGGACCAAATGGATCCCTCTGCCCCTTGGCTCAGTGGCTGTGGCGGGGCTCTGCTGGGGCCCTCTGGGCCTTCCCACACACCCTGCCAAGGGCCCTCCACAGTTCCTGCTTTGTCCACCCAGCCACTGAGGGCCACAGTCAGGGAGGGGTTAGTGACAGATGAAAGACAGCCAACCAACTCTGCCTGTGCTGGCCAGCCCTGACCCATCACTGGGACCTCCCCTGTCCCCTAAGCACTGGGGGTCTGGACAGTCCACAGAGCGAATCACAGTGCATTCGGAGAATGCACAGCAGGAGAGGGGTGGATTCTCCCAGATCCAGCTGCAGGCCTGAGCCCAGTCCTGCCCAGAGACGCTGCCCCAGTTCAGGGAAGAACCTCCTGCTGTCTCCCAAGTGCCACCAGCACCTGGGGACGACTCCAGAGTCAGACCAGGAACAGGGCCGCTGGGCCTGTCTTCCTCCTTCTCTCCTGATAATCCGTCGTTCTCATCCCTGGCGTTAGGGGTCTGGAGACCTTGGGCAGGATTCGTATCTTCTTTTCAGTGACAGATTATCATCACACAACAACAGACGTTTCTCCTAGGAGATGTGGACAGGAAAGCAAAGGAAGCCCAGGTCCCCCAGTCCACACCTGGAACATGGGCTCGCCCCTCGGTGGGCCACTCCAGGCAGTTTCTGCCCCAGGGGCAGGCAGAGCGCTCGGCGGGGCGGGCCGTGGGTGCCCAGGGCTGTGCACCTGTTCTCACCGCCGCTGCCGACCAGGGTTCTCGGGGACACATTTCTAAGTTGACATCCCTCCAGTTGTGATTGAAGGTTGTTTCATGGCATAGAAGCAATTCACTTAACTAATCCCGCAGGTCTGTCTTCAAGTCCTTAGAGAGGCATTAGCCACCGACCCTCTTTCCAAAACTCTTTGCCACATTTTGAGAAGCCATAAGATTAATTTTCCAAATAGGAATTAGGAAATGATTACTCACATAATAAAGCAGTATCCAAACATGTGCTCCAAGGAGCTTCTTTGAAAAATGGGCTCCCCCAGGCGTTGAAAGCCCACCACAGTGAGTAAAATCCCCACTCTCCACAGTGGCACCGAGGGGTGTATCTGTCCTCATATCCCTCCTCTCCCTTCATGGAGGGCTTTCCTGGGTACACAGGGGGAGTGTGCACACGTGCAAACATGAGCCTGCACACAGGCAGACACACATGTGTACCTAAGTCATCCACGTAGGCACACGTGCACGTGTGTACACACATGAGCACAGGGATGCTTGTGTTCACACACACAGGCAGCACACACCTGTATACCCTCAGGTACACAAGCACGCACACACACCTGTTCACAGAGCACTGCCCACACACGTGCACACATGCGGGCACAAACACATACACATGCGCACGCACACACACACACACATGGGCACATGCACATATGCGGACGCACCTAGCATTTGGGCGCTGTCAGCTCGTCCCCGCCGTCAGCTGAAGGTGATGTTAATTTAATTCCTTATTAATCACTTTTATTTATCAGGTGATCTGCTGCTACCAGCCAGCCCTTGCGAGGGAATAAACCGTCACTTCTTTCTAAAAGATAAAGGGAAATAGATGTTGATGAGGTTGGGCAGGTCAGTGGCCCAGCACGTGTGACTCACCATTTAATGAGACAGGCAGACACACCTCAGAAGAGGAAATGCTTAGAGGCACTGAATGAAGCCAGGTTGAAAGGAAACCCCAAAGCCCAGGCCTGCAGGTTGGCACAACGATGGGGCGCCAGGTGGTTTGCCATTCATCAGGTGAGGTCATCAGCACCCAGCGCATCTGCGCTGACAAGCCAGCAGAAGGCCACCACCTTCCCCCCATGCAGCCAGAAGAGGGGAGCAGAGGCCTCGGGAGAACTCCCCACAGGCGAGCGTCCGTGAGGTCCCCAGCCCCCCCACCCCCGGTTCTGGTACCCTTATGCTCAGTTCAGGTGCAGGCATTTTTTAAAAATAACTCATTGTGTGGAGATTTGCATAACCTGGATGTAAACATCAGGTGAGGATTCAGTGGCTTTAGTCCAAGGGTGGCGTTGTGCGACTGCCAGCTCCATCTAAGCGCAGAGCCCGCCCACATGCCCAAGCGAGGGCGTGCTCAGGTGCGTTTTACGTTTTGTTCGGGGTCTCGTTGCTCTGCACGTTGCCCCAGTGCCACCAGCCTCCGCCCCCCCACTCCCACACGAGGACTCCAGGAGCCAGGGCCAGCTCAAGGGTGCGGACAGACCCTGCCCCCCCATCCACTAGCCCCGGGTTCTCTCAGCACTGGTCTTCGGCACCAGGAGCACCTGTCTTGAACCCTGGCTCTGTCTCCTGCGGCAAATGAACCCGGCAGCTTGCTCAACCTCTCAGCCTGTTTCCTCTCCAGAAGATGGGACAAGGCGTCTTTCTTTGAGAGGCTGGTCAGGTGGGAGGCACGGCCGTCTCCCATGGCGGAACCACAGGTGTATGCACCTATGTATGGTCTGTTTTTCACCGTGGTCCACTACACCTAAAAGAGTTGTCTTCCTGACCATTTCTAGTGCAGTGGCATGAACCGTCCACCCCCAGAATCTGCAAAATTGCAGCTCTGACCCATTCAACTGACTCCCATCTCTCCCCACCTCCCAGCAACGGCCACCCTCTGCTTTCTGCCTCTGAGTCTGACTGCTCTAGAGACCACTAGAAGTGGGGCCTCTCAGTGCTTGTCCTTGGAGTCTGGCTGATCTCATTGTGCACAGCATCCTCAGGAGTCTCCTGTGCCGTGACATGTGCCAGGATCTCCCTTTCTAAGGCGGAATGGTGGCCCAGTGTATGGACTCACAGACCACGTTCTGATGGACACTGGGCTTCTCTACCTTTGCTATTGAGAGCAGAGTGGCCATGTGTGGATGGCACTTGTATTAATCCATCTGGAAGTGCAGGACACGGGGCTGACCAGGAAGCCTGTTGTCCAGTGCGGCCTGTACCTCTGCCCTCCCTCCTCACACATGCAGACGCTCCGTGAACCTGGCCTGCAGACGGCCTTTGGCTGATCACG